TCGGCGGTTCGGGCTCTGCTGCCGCGCAGCCCGCGCAGCCGATGCATCTGCATAAGGCCCTGCTGGCTGACTTGGAACAAGGGTTTCCTCGCCTCCCTCGCACCCCCATGCTACGCGGCTACGCGCCGTGAGCGCGAGAGAGACGGCGGCGACGGTCCTTTCGGAACGAAACTGCAGCTTGCTGGGCGGCGTTCCGGCGGCCCTAATGAATTGGGCGCTGGAAACTGGGTGACGCCTCGGCTCGGCGGGGACGCGGTGGTGGTGGTGGTGGGCCCCCAGTGGGGTGGCCCCGGATGTAATTTGCACTGGTTGATGAATGCTGCTGTTTGATCGGGACCGGGCGGTTCGGTCCATTCGGTCCCTTTGGCGCCTCTTGCACGCTTTGGCGCGGCAACGCTGCCCGTCGTGCAGTGCCCTGTGCCATGGCAGTGCCATGGCGGTGCCGCGAGCCCCGCGAGAGCAGAGCCTATTTCCGTGTGCCATCGCACTGCTGGCATCGCGGCGTCGCGGCGCACGGCCCCAGCGCTTTCTTGTGACGAGACGGGGCGACGTCGGGCCGGGCGTGGCACTGCGTGGCACTGTGTGCCGAACTCGACGCTCGTAAAATGGTGAACATCTGTGCTCTGTGGGGGAGAGAGCGGGCCGGGACGGGCCGGGCGTCGTCGCGTTGTCATCGGGACCTGTCTGTCTCCGTCGCGGAGGGGCTCCCGCAGGGACTTTGCTTGACGTCTGGGGCTCGCGCGTAAATGTTTCGGATGGCGTGCCGGCCGTCGCCGTGTTGACCGTCATTTCGAGAGCCCCGCGGGAGGCGCGTGGTGCGCGGCCAGGCTCGGGGGCCCCAACAGCTGGAACCGTGTTTGAATTCGGTACCGTTGGGGACCTGAATGTTTCAGGCAGGACCTCGCTGGCCGGATTTGCAAGAGAGTACTCTGCAGGCGGATTCCGAGCACTGCCTGTGTTGCTCTGTCTCTCTCGCGCCCTCGCGGGACGCCTCGCGTTACGCCCCGTGAGTGAGGGAGAGAGAGCGACGAAAGCTGGGTGTTCCGTCGTGCAGCGCGAGGCGCCTCTTTCTCTTTGCAAACGGCGTGCCGCGCGGAGTTTCCGCTGGAGTGTCTCTGCAACGCGGCGCCCCGTTCGGGTCTGAACCCAAATGAATAAAAAGTCCTGGGACGAGGAAGCGTCTCGATGCTGTTTGCACACCGTCCCGTCGAAGCAGAGCGAAGCGGAGCACGGCGGAGCACAGCCGCGCCGCGAGAGAGCCGAGCCGAGCAGCGGGCAGGGGCGTGCCAAGCCGAGGCCGGGGCCGCGCGGCCGAGCCGAGCCGAGCGCTGCCCCGGCGGGGCTGGCGGCCTGGCTGTGCCTGTGCCGCAGCGCTGGCCGGGCCGGGCCGCTGGCTGGCCTGGCAGCCTGGCAGCCGCTGGGCCGTGGATGTGGCAACGTCGCGCCTCGCTGGCGTGGGCTGCAGGCGGTGCTCGGGAGGCCGCGGCGCGCCGACTCGGTGGGACGGTGCTCGGGAGGGACGGCCGCCGCGGCAGCACGGAGCCGACCCGCTGCTTGCCTTGCAGGGGGACGCTGAAATGCGGTCAATTCGGCTGCATTTCCCAGTGCAGGGCCTCGCCTCATTTTGTGGTCGTCCACAGGACCGTGCCTCGAAGAGAGGCCGCGAATCGGACCCGTGGTGTGGATGACGCCGACTGAGCGAGCTGCCGTCAGGTCACTCAGTCCTAAATGGTCCTAAATGGTCTCAGGCGGTTCTAGGCTGTCCTAGGCTGCGCTACGCTGTGATAGAGGCTCCTAGATGCTGGCCAGCGTCCCGGGGCCCCAATGCAGCACTGTGAGTGACGGCCAGCACGGCCGGGTCCTCATTCATTGCGTTCAATGGGCTGGCCAGGCCGGCCACTTGTAGGATCCTCGTAATCGTCGTCGAGACTCCCTTCCGACTAAAAGTGACACTGTCCGGGGAAGGAGCACGGAGAGGCACGGACTCGTGGAATCCCCACGCCGCCCCATTTCCCAGAGCCCGCAGTCCGCCAGCCCAGCCAGCCCAGCCACAGCACTGCTGGACAGAGAGCCTCGTCGCCCCGTCTCGGGGAACGCCCTGCGAGAGAGACAGAGCGCCGAAAGTGTGGCGGAATGGCCCTGCTGGACCCGTGTGGACCGTCGGACCGGGGTGGCGCCCGAAGGTGGCGCCTGCCGCGAGGCCCACTGCCGCCGCCCCACCACGGCACCCAACGGCCACGGAGGACGACGGCCAAATGAGAACGAATGAGGCTGGACGCGTGATGTGCCCGCACCGTCCGGGGCCGTCCGTCCCTGCCCTGCAGTGCCCTGGCCGCCCCAGTCCCGCTTCTCAATTGAAAGGGGGCGGCGGCGGAATACCGAACGAGGCGCGGCGGCGCGGCACGGCGTTGGCTTTATTGGGGCGCGCCGTGCCGCGCCGTGCCGCGCCGTGCCGCGCCGCGCCAGTCGAAGTGCTTCCACGCGATTGACGGACAGGGAGGGCTGTTCTGTTCCCCGCGGCGCTCGCCCGGCCCGACGCCGACGCCGATGGTCGGGTTCGGATGGGTACCTCGCGACGGGGGGAGGGGCGAATGGGGCGAACGGGCTGAACGGGACGGTTGCCATGGAGACCATCGAATTGCGCCTGGGACCTAGGCCAACCCGACCAGGGAGACAGCGAGGGGCGGACGGTGGCGCCATCTTGGTGTGGCGAATTTGAACCATTTGAACGGGTCGCGGCGGGGCGCTGGCGGTAGCGAGGCCAGCCCTCTAGCGGGGCAGCGGGGCCGTTAGCGACGGTGGCCGCGATCGTGACTGGAGACGGACAGGCCCGTGCGCCCGTACGCCCCGTGCACTCTAAATGCAAATGGCCTATTTGGGCGCAGGCAGGCAGGCAGGCAGCCCGGCCGTGCTCCAGTGGCGGTCGTTTCCCTGATCGACTAGGCGCGTCGCGCGTCGCGACGACACAACGGGACTAGACGGCGTCGTTTGGAGGCGACGCCGAGACGCCGCTTTGACACGGCCAGGGAGGCGCCGCCCCCGCCGGGCCCGGCCGTCTGCGCGGAAAACGGCGTCGCGTCACAGTCGCGCGGGTTCGAATCCCCGCCCCGGCGGACCGGAATGGCGTCGTTTCCGCGCTTTTTGGAGCCAGCCTGGAGCCAGCCGGGCTGCGCTGCGCGCTTACACGCGTCTCGTAGCGTGGGCGATCCGGCCCCGGTTGCGTCGTCTGCAGGCGGATTCCGAGAGTCGCTTTTGTCGCTCTGTCTCTCTCGCACTTTTACGGACGCCCCGTGAGTGCGAGAGAGACAGCGACGAAAACGTCTCTCGGGATCAGTGTGCTGGCGTGCGCGGCGATTAGCGGGGCATGGCGCTGCGTGGCGTGGCGGCCAGGCCAGACGACCCAGACCCGGACGCCCACCGCAGTCCCAGAGTCACTGCACGGCGTGGCGGCGTGGCGCGTGGAGCCTCATTAGCATACGGGCTGCATTGCGGTGCGGCTGGGCCGGGCTGGGTCGGACTGTCTCGTGACGCGGACAGGCCGGCGCTGCCCGGCCTTTGTCGCCGAGCCCTCGGAGCCCTCGCCGAACCGCCTGTCTGCCCCGCGACCTCCTTCTCGACCTCTTGGACCTCGGCGATAAGGCGAGGCTGGCCTCCTGCTCGACGGCGACCTCTCCTACAGTTCTCGACGACGGCCTCCTCGACGACGCGTAGCTGCGGCTCGCTGCGGCCCGGTTGTTTGTCCGTCCGGAAGGGCTGGCTGGGCAGGGCGGCGTCCGCTCGCGTTATCTCAAGGACGGCGGTCCTGCACGGCGGTGCACTTCTTGTCGAGCAGCCAGCGTCGCCCGGCAGCCTCGCCGAATTGCGCGGCATTCCACTCCGCGCTCGCCGGGAGTCATGACGTGGCCGGTCGGTCTGTCTGTCTGTCTGTCTGTCCGTCTGTCCGCCGCGGCCCTAGTGATAAATGTGGACGGCGGCGCGGCGGCGCGGCCAACCTGCGTGGCTGTGCTGCGAATGCCACTGCTGGCGGAGAAGTGCGTCGTCCTCTTGGCAGCGCGGCCACGCCCCCCGCGGCGCCCCCCGTGACCCAAGGCCCGGCGCGGCGCATCGCTAGAAAGGTTATCGCACGTACCTTCGCGCAAGTCTCACGGCAGTGTAAATGCTGCAGGCTGATTCCGAACATTGGTATCGCCGCGCTGTCTCTCTCGCACTCGTGGGGCGTTCCGTCCGTTCCGTCGGGGCGCGAGAGAGGGAGTTGTCAGTGGGCTGGCGCGGCGCGGGGCCCGTCGTCGGCGAGGTGCTGTTGCCGGGGAGCGTGATTTGGTGCGTCCTTGCTGCGCCGCCGTGGCAGGTGTCCGTCTGTCTCTGCCTGCGACGTCGAGGGCCCGGCCGGCCCGGCCTGTCGTAGTTCGAAGGACTCGTGGCGCCGAGGCCGCGTCGACCGGCGTCGGCCGGGGCGCGGCGCGGCGATGCGGCGCCTGAATGTCACCGGCTGCGTCCGCGGCGCTGCGGCACTGCCAGTACGGCGCCCAGGTCGTGCATCCCACGGGAGTCGCTTGTTGACGGCGGCCGTGAACCTCCCGGTGCCGCACTGCCGCGCACTGCCGCACAGGCAGGCATTGGCGGTCGGCCGGCTGACCTTTGGCTAGTCCGTCTTTGTCGCGCCGAAATAGAGGAAAAGGATGCCCCGCGTTGTCCTTTTGGAGTCTGGCCGTCAAGTAGGTCCCCGTCTCCGATCCGACGTGGCCGGTGGGCAGGCCCGGCAGGCCCGGCAGGCGCGGCAGGCCGGTGGCCGCAACCTTTGGACCCACGTGCCTGCCGCCATGCCGCCATGCGTGCCGCCGAGGCCGAGGCGGGCCGCAGCCGAAACCACGCGTGGTTGTTTTGGTTGTTTTGCCCCGCCCCGCTACACTGCCGGCCCTGTTGAAATGCGTCCGCGTCACTGTCTCTTTCCTTTTTGTGGTGTACGGTGTACTGACCGGCGGTGTCCTCGTGTGTTGCAGCTATGGCCGTGTTCAGAGCGTCAAGCTGCTGCCCCGGCACAAGGACGCCGTGCTTGACGGGGCCAGCGGGCTGTGCGCTACCGTGGCCTTCATGGACATCAAGTCGGCGTCCAAGGCGCACCTGACTGAGCACAAGCTGGACGAGCGGTGCTTGACGACGGACTATTACGAGCCCGCCGCCATCCCCGGCCACCCCGGCCACCCCGGCCCGGCTGGTGGTGCTCCCTCCGCGGCCGCTTACGCCTCGTCCCCCAGGTTCTCTCACGGGTAAGTTTCCTCGCGTCCTCGCCGAGGCCCCCACCCCTCCCTCCCTCTCCGTCCTCCTTCGGGGCGATCTTCGCGGTGCTCGTCCACGTCCGCGGCGTCCGCGGCTGGTGGCGCAATGCGCAATCTGGGCGTGGAATCAGTCGGCAGACGGGGCGGCAGGGCTGGCAATGTCAAGGCTTGGCTTGGCGGGGCCGTGGCGGGGCTGTGACGATGCCGTGACGCGCTGTGCCCGCGCCGCCCGCGCCAAATGCTGAACTTGACACTCTCGCCAGGCGTGTGTACAGCCGCCCCGGTGGCCGCGGCCCGCGAACTGGCGTGTTTTCGCGAGTCGCCCGACTGTCGCCCCGATAATGACTCCCCGCACCCCGCCCCGCCCCGCCCTCGACCTCCACCCCACAGACACGAAGATGGACACGAAGATGGAGCCGAGCAGGTGCACGACACGGCCATCACGACTCTGCCCACTCACTCTCTCACTCACTCTCACGCAGCCTCCCCCTCCCCAGACAGTGAATTGTTTTTCTTTTCTTTTTTTTTTTTTAAAGAAATGGCAAACTGGCCTCCTTGTCGTGGCCGTTCAAGTGCTGTGACCGAGAGTCACGAAGAAGGGGAGTTGCCCCTGGTGTCGCTCAGTGTGTGCGAATGTGTGAGTGTGTGTGTGAAGCAGTGCCTCAAGAAAGAAGACCCGGTTGGTACCGCGGCGCCGCCTTGGATTTACTTCGGCGCCCGGCCAACGGAAGAGCGGAAGAGCGAAGCGACGCCAAACTCAGTGCGCCGCGCCTCCTTTGGATACTGTGGATAACTCTTCGCCCGCCGCCTTTGGATTACGTTTGTGCAGTGAAAAAGTGAGATCACAGTGCTGCGGTGCTGCCCCACCCCTCCCCTCCCCACACCCCCGCCACTGACACGCACTACCCTACCGACACGACACGCGCACGTCACAAACACTCTGGCGGTAAGTACTGCGGCGACAGGGCTGTTTCCGGGCGACAGGCCTCTGCATCTCTCTCTCTCTCTCGCACTCGAGGAGTTTGTGGGCGGGTGCGAGAGAGGCTGGCGGGTCCTTCCGCTCGGAATCAACCAGCAGCAGCAAGGCTCCGGTTTGTCAGGCTGGTTTGGCGCTGACGACGGGCTGCCTGCCTGCTCTTGGTTGTGTGTGTGTGTGTGTGTTTGTTTACGCATGTGTGTGAGAGCGCGCGTACTGTACGGGGCTGCCTTCCGTGGTTCGCGGCGCGGGCTTGTTAGCGTTCGGGGTGGTTTGGCAGTGGCGTTGCCGCGGGCTTGGCTGCGGAGCCGAGGCACTGCGAAGGCGCCCCGCCCCGCCCCCGCCGGCCTATAGATCACCTTTATGACCGCGCGACTTTTTCCCCGTTTTCTTTTTGCTGGCTTTCCTTTTTCTTTTTGTTTCTCTCTCTCTCTCTCTCTCCGCGGCGCCCCGCCCGGCACCGCCTTTCGGGAGGCGGCGGCCTGGGCTGCAGCGAGCGCGCCGAGCGCGGCGTCCCCGTTTTTCGTCCGTGCCGCCGGGAGGCCGACTCGCCGACTCCGAGGGGCCGTTGGGCCGCTCTGTCGCCGTCGCACTCTCGGGCCCGTCCCGGAAGGGGTGCGAGAGAGACGGAACGACTCCCCCGAATGGCTCGTGCTGCCTTTTCCGCGCGTTTTCCCCACCGTCGTCTATGTCCGGGCCATCGGCCACCGGGCGGGCTGGGCTCGGCTTCGCCTTCAGCGGGTAAATGGCTCGGTCAATGTCGATGCGGCTCGGCCCCGCCTTCTCCTCTATGCCCGCGCGTGACCCGCTTCCCCTCCCCCGACATGTCCGCCACGGTGGGGCCACCTGCCGGGGAATCGGCTGAGCCGCGTCGTCGTGGCGGTGGCGGTCGTGGTGGCGAACTGGCGTCCCCCGCTTATCTATGCAGATGCGCTGGGAGCGTCCCCCATTCATTTCCGAGGCCCGCGCCGTGCCGCGCCACGCCGCGCCACGCCCTGCCTCCGCGTTTGACAGTCGGCATTACTGCTCGCCGGCCGCGTTTCGAGTTTTGCGCCACGTTTCTCTTGTGATCCCCTCCCTCCCTCTCTCCCTCCACCGCGTCGTGCGCCTCCTCCTTTTGCTATTCCCATTTTCCGCTCCTTTTTCTCTTCCCCGTGCGACTCGGGGCCCCGCGTGATTGCGGTCGTCGCATTGTGGGGGCGTGGTGGGGCGCGGCGGGGCGTGGCGGGGCGCGGTGGCGTCGAAAATGTATCGCCCGCGTTATGAAGCGCGGGGCGCTGGTGCCCGCCGTGAGCCCCGTCCCCGTCGTCGCCCTGGCCCGCTGGGGCACTGTGACGAGCTTTTAATCATGGCCATTTCTACGCAGTGGGGATTGCGTTTATGGCGGAATGGAGCTGGAGACCGGCCGGAGTCGCTGGTGTTGGCTGCCCTGCCCAGCCTGGCCGTCGTCGGCCGTCCAGGCGTACCCGAGGGCGTACCGCACCTACACCACACGCGGAAGGCCGAAGTGGCGCCGAATGGAATGGGAGTGGTCCAGTCTGCCCGTCTTGTTTTTGTTTCTGTTTTCGTTTTCCTGGTGCGGGTGGCCTGCGGAGCCGCCGAAAGGGTTGGTCTGGTTGATGACTCTGCGCTGCAGGCTGATTCGCTGCTCTGTCGCTCTCGCACTCCAGTGGGGCGTCCGGAAACAGCGGGAGAGAGACAGCCTTGTGGGTGCGGCGACGCCGCAGACGCCGCAGCCCGCATCAAATCCGGGCGCCGCGACGCGCTCTGCGGCAGACGAGACGACGGCGACGCTGGCAGCCCTGCACGGCCCCGCACGGCCCTGCATGCTTGGCTATTCCCCCCTGCCGCTTTGGCGGAGTGGAGACGCGCGGCCAGCCAGCGGACTGATTCCGAGAGTCCTTCCCGTCGCTCCGTCTCTCTCGCGCTCTTGGGGTGGCCCGTGGAGGTGCGAGAGAGACAGAGGGTGCTGTGGCGGTGGCCGAGTCGAGGCACTTGACGTTCCATTCCGGCGTCCAGGGCGGGGCGGTCGGGGCTGGCGTGCCGCGAGGGGCGGTGGTCGGCGGGGCTGGTCGTAACCCGAGTCACATTGCCGTGATACGAGCGCCGCGCGCCCCGCCGGTCCCGCCGCCCCGCGGCCGAACCTCCCCGTCGTCGTGGCGTCCTCGAAAATAAAATCGACTTTTCATTCCGGATTTGCCAGTGTGGCGTTCCCCTCGCCGCCGTCGCCGTCCGTGATGGATCTGGCCGGGGGGCTGAGGATGACTGTCCGCGATTTGTCAAAGTTTGATTCCTCGGCGCTCGTTCTGGCGTGCTGGCTTGTGGCCGCGCCGCCGGCCCTCATCGCATGCGGCGGTAGCGCCGCGCCGAGCGCCAACCCAGGCCAGGCCCCAACAATGCCGGTGCGCCCTGTCGTAACTGTGCATGATGTATGTGTGTCTCTGTGCGCGTGCGTGCGTGTGTGTGTGTGTGTGAGGCTCACACCGCGAGCGGCACCAGCGGCAGCCGGGTCCTCCGCTCCACCCACCCGCAGCCCTCCCTCTGTTTTCATCCGGGAAAACGCAACCGGCCCCTGCCGCCGTCTCGCATCTCGCTCGCACCGCCGGCCGCGCTGCCGCGTGTTGCAGTCGTTGCAGTCGGTCGCGTTGCGTTGCGCTGGCGTGGAGGAAAGCCGGCCCCGCGGCCCCATGCGCGCAGCGCCATGTCGAGACGGCCTAGGAACCCGGAGCAGGATCCCGCATGTGCCGTTCTCCGTGTGAGTGTGTGTGTGTGTGGAGGGGGGGTGTACCTTATGGGGGAAGTGGCGTGCTGCTGAATCACTGGGGGCCCCCATGTCAATAACCCCGGCCAGGTTGTGCCACGCGGGACCCCGCCCCGCCCCGCCCCGCCCCGCCCCGCCCCGCCCGCTCGCGGCGTGTGTGGGTACCGCACAGGTGCGCATTGCAGGCCGCCCCGGCCCGGCCCCTCGCGGCACTGCTCTGGGACGGTTCTCGCAGTCCTCGCAGGACTCCGTGACGTCATGTCGCATTGCGGTGCACTTGGGCCCCGACGCCGCGACGGCCCCGGTGGCGGGGGTTGCCCGGCGAAGCGAGGCCAAGCCCCCGTCGCGAGGCTAGCCTACTACACATCGCTACACACTAGGCCGCCCGGTGCGAGACTACCAGGCGGGCAGGCGGCGCACCCCCAGTGCGTAGTTGGCAGGCTGGGCCGGGACGGCTATTCCTGGCGGACGGGCCGACGGGCCGACGGGCAGGTGCATCGGCCAACGCGGCCCGAACGCGGCGCACCGCAGGGCTCCGCGGCGTGCGTGCGTGTGAGGCGCTGCCTGTGTGTTTGTGTGTGAGCGCGCAAAGGCGACGCAAAGGGGCGCTCCATAAATTGATTAATTAGGCTCGTCTCTGCCAGCGCGGAGGGCCCAGGCCAGGCCCGGCCCAGCCCCAGTGCAGGCCCCCCGGGGGGCCCTCGAGGCGTGAGGGATGGGCCCGCTGTGGCGTGACGCGCGCGCCGAAAGTAGAGTAAAAAGTAAAATTCGACCAGACAGGGGGAAGGGCGCGAGAGAACGGGAGGACGCGGAGAACGAATACATCTGGGCCTTTGCATGACTCATAAATCGCGCATGTGTGGGCCCCAACAAAGCCCTACAGGGCCAAAATTTGGTCGGTCTAAAGGAGAGCCTTTGCGATCGGGACATGGAAAAAACGAACCAACGACAACAGACAGCCTTCCAGCCCCCGTTGGGGTGTTGGCTGATCGAGCGTCATGTCAGTGCGGTGCGGCTGGAGCTGAAAAATAGGCCTACCTGTGACGGGTCTCGAACCCGCGACCTTTCCTTCGCCGTCGGCCCGTCGCGTGACGAATGCAGCTGACATAACGCGGCGCGGTGCAGGCTAGCCTGCCCGCGGTGTGTGGTGGCGCGCTGGCGGCGAGGCGGCCGGGGAATTGGGTTGGAAAGGCGGGCGTGGGCAGGGAAGGCCTTTGCCCGCCTTGGCGCGTTAGCAGTGCAGTGTGCAGTGCG